ACGGGAACCGCCTCCCTCCGATGTCTCATTGGAAGGGACAATGACGGCACAGGGGATCGCTTTGAAGTAAACACCTCTAGAAATCATGACTCCGATAGCTCCCCATATGCTTTTGCCTTCATTTGTAGCTCGGATGAATCCGAACCACAACCACACACGACTGACGGACAACCGTCCTGGCTTTTGTCAGTATTTATTTATTCCGCATTGGGTTGTGCAATACTCACACAGGACTTATAAATTCCGCGTCACTCCTAAACGTGTGATATAGCTAGGATCAATCCGAACCACATCCCTCACCGCATCGGGAGTCCCGAGGTGAGTATCACGCCCAGTGACGGGAGGTCTCATCGGGAAAGGAAAACAGCGGCACACGCCACGCATCCTGAATGCAACATACAATAACCGATGGTGGGCACTCATGGCATTCGTTGTTTATTTGTCCTTCTGAGAGGCTAAATACGAACATTTCGCAGGACGTCTAGGTACCGCCTGACTGAAACCGTTTGCTGTGGTCCGAATAATTAATCCGAACCTCAGCTCGACGGCGATTGAGTCTGATTTGTCTGTCACTCTTGGCTTTTGTTTGTTTGCACCTGGGGCAGTAAGGCAAATCTCGCAAAGGACGTGTTGCTTCCTACAAGCTCTGCCTTCGATTCCAGGGGTGTCTCATCCTTCTGCCACATCCCTCCGAGTGAGGCGAGCTCGCTGGGCGGTGGCTCGGATTAATCCGAGCCACGGATGGTCGCACGACATCCCATTTAATGTCTATCTTTCCGGGGCAGTTGCTCGGATTGATCCGAACCACGGACTGGTAGGCATGGATGAGCTTCTGTCTAGGACTTCTGTTGGCGGGTGGCTCGGATTGATCCGAACCTCGGATCCGGGGCGGTGCGTTAGGCTTGGATGAGCTTCTGTCTTGCACTTCTGTTCACCTCGTGTTCAGAATGGCCATGGTACGTAGAATGTGTGCTTTCATGGCTCTGCGAAAAGTACTTGTCATGTCGACTGTGCGAAAACGTCTTCTGTAGATGAGGCGGTGTGATGTGGCTGTCCGGCGTCGGTGTGTTGTTCCGTTCGACGAGGGTCGTCCCACTGTTCTGTCCGTCTCAATGTGCTTCACGGCGTGGGTTTTGATAATCATTTGGAAATCCCTCATCTGCTCTGGAACGGGTCCCTGCGTGACTTTTAGAAAACACTCCATTGGCTTGGTGAACTTCTGATTGGTGACCTTCTGTAAGGGCTTTGCAATGCGACGTGGAAAAATCTTTTTTTGGACAATTCCGATTGACGGCCTTCTGTAAGGGCTTCACCGACAAAAAAGTGTAGGGCGTTACAGCTGGGTGTGGGCACCGTCGGGGAAATTATCGTTCACCGACATTGTTTACGACCATCTCCTTTGTCGTATGTCTATCCATGTGTTCGTGTTGTGTAGGGAGTTTAATGTCGTCGAGTCCTTCGACAAGCATGGCCATGCTACACGAGAACTGGCATCTCGACGAATGGAACGAAATTGACTGGAAGGCGATGGAGCGTTCCTGCCCATGGGCAAGCCATTACAAGTTTGCCAACATGTTGGAGTTCGGGAGCCTCATTGCACTGCCTGCTGGTGTCCTCCATCGAAAGACCCAGGACGATAAGGGTRAACCGGTCCGCTTCCGTACCAGCTTCAGACGTCACCTCCACTGCGAGTATATCACATCTTCGTCACGAACTTKGGGGAGTTCGCAGAAGCAAGAGTTGGTGGACTGCGCTCGYCATTGTTCATTCTTGGAACACTACCCACCCCGTTGCCCAGGGACTTCTCCACAAGCTCTGTCGTACTGTTGTGTGTGGTTGACGGATGACRRATGTCCTTTCGCCAGAGTGCTATGTGTGGCTTTTTCAAGCAAAAACGGGAAACTTGTGGATGCAGTTGTGCTTGTGTCACGCAACGAGATGGTGCTTCAGGGATCCAGGTTCAAGGCGGTCATGTCTCGCACAGATGTAGATGGGCGGTCAAACTTGGTGAGAGCAGGTCGGGTAAGAGTTTTTCTGTCATTGTGGGATGATGTGGAAAAGAAAGTGTTTGAAATATGTGACTGTATAGGGAATTCCTTAGCACGATGACGAGGGTTTGTCAGGATGAAATACATGTCCGTGTTTTCGGAGAAGGCAACAGTCGACCAGCTGCAGATCCATGTGTATGGATCATCTATGTATGCTCTATATGGCTTCCGTTCACGACCTCGTCCGCGGGAGACCCTGTATGTCACAAGATACGAATGTGTGGTCAGACCTTGTGTTTAATGGAAAAGGAGACTCCCTCGTGACGACTAGAGTTGACACCTGCGTTGTTGCATTTGAACTTGCAAAGCTGACGTTCTATAAGTGATTCGGATTCATCCGAATCATCAATCAGATACATGCGGGTGCACCCCACGTTGAAGGCGATGCGTGAAGGCTTCCCCAATGACGATCCTTGGCCAAACAACAACCCGTCGGACTTTGTATGTGCGATTCGATAACTGCAGACAATCAAGTTTATGTTCTTGCACGCATTCGAGGCAAATGACGCTTCCAAACAGTCCGCCACCCTCTAGATCGTCTGGTACTGCCATGAAATGTGGTGCCT